TTAAACAAAAAAAATATGTTTATACGGTTTAAAATGTAATAGAAAAAAAATACATTTATACGGTATCAAATGGAAAATAGACAAAGTTGAACAAAATTTGATAAATGATGATTGATTGGAACAAAAAAACAGTGTCAAAATTGAAATAAAAAAATTAAACTTAGTGTCAAAATCGAAAAAAAAAAAGTGAAAACTTAGTGTTTTTTGTGGAAAAAAAATCAATTTTGACACGTCATCATATCATGTCAGCATGTCATGTCATCAAAACTAACACGTCATCATGCCACGTCAGAATGTAACTTGGTGAACCGATCAAGTGGTCATAATTGTAACAAATTGGAAAACACAGTGTCAAAATTGACACAAAAAAAACACGGTGTCAAAATCGAATTTCTGTATCAAAAAGTGTTTTTTGTACCATTTACCCTTTAGGTTACTAATCTTTGTAATTGTATTCAATATGTCAATAATTTTTTTATCAGTTTATATTATAGTATTGTAATGTATTTTAATCAAGTAATTTTATTATATCAGATATAGAAGCCACAATAATAGGGTTAGACAGGGCCTAAACGACCAAATTATCTCATATTAATTGTTACATTGCCTAACACATACGATAGTTTACCTAATTGAAATGTACCCCTTATGTAGTAAGAACCTATAACAAATTAAAGCTTACCTAATACAATTGAAAAATAAATGATCTAAAAGATAAATTGTTCACAATATGGTATTTGTGATATTAACGCATTTAGTAATCAAGATTATTTAACATCCCAACAACAAAATGGGGAAAATGTTAAAGAAAGTTAATATTAACATATTATTTTCAAATTTGTTTGATTTATAATTTATTGTATTAGATGAAAAGTATATATGTTTTATGCATTTATTGTTGAATTGACAAGTGAACCAAAGTAACTAAAATGGGTACAAATCTCAGCCAAATGCGCCATACTTTCTTGAGTTAAGAAGAAATGCCGTTTTCATGAGTCGAATAAGTTATATAGAAGTTTTTATTAATTTATTTGGTATAATACAGAGATTACAGAACATATTTATATCGTTTATACGGTACAAGGACATAATAAATTGATAAATCAATTTTTCATATTTGATAAATTTTGTTTATGTATATAAAACAGCCAAAAAAAAAACTACTATCTTATATATTAATTAATGATATTTTGTTACACTTAAACAATTCATTAATATATCTTATATTTGGTGTATTTATCGTAGGGAAGTCGAGGACAACCTAGGTTAAATTTTACAATTTTATTATAGTATTTTGGAAAATTAAGAGTTATATCGATAATATTAAAATATATTTATAATTCTATGATATTATATAATATATTTTATTATGAAAAAAAAAAATTCATAATTCTATTGGTCATCTTAATGCCCTTGCAGCTTAGATAACATCATATAAAGGCTTTCCTTAACAAAATCGAATTGTACATTTTGAAATTTTTATTTGGTTATTTGACTTAATAGATTAATTTTAAAAAAGTAAATTATTATTTTGGATTTCGTATTAATTTTAAATTTATAAAATAAGAATAAAATAATCATAGGATTCGAATAATAACTTTTTTTATTAATATATATTTTGAATTATTTATTAATTTGTTAATTTATTATTTCAAATAAATTTAAAAAGTTTATATATATTTTTTAATAGTTTATAAATTTTAAACCACAACTAAATAATTTATTTATGTTTTTTTTTTTTTATAAAATGGCTAAAATTTTAATTATATATGGTTTAATATGTCTCAACCTTTGAAAATGAAATTAAAATTTTGATTAAATCAATTTGTAATTTAGTTGAATCAGTTTAAATTTAAATTTAATTTGCATTATTAGGATTAATATTTTAAAAAATATTTTAAAAACAAAAATGATGGAACATATTCATCCACACAAACACCCGGTACTTTCATTTGTGAGTACACTGCACAAACAAATTAAAGAAACACATATCTACTTTCACATTTTTGGATGGACAATAAAAACAAGGCTCCACATATGTGTATATATATATATATATATATATATATATATATATATATATATATATATATATATATATATATATATATATATATATATATATATATATATATATATATATATATATATATATATATATATATATATATATATAGAGAGAGAGAGAGAGAGAGAGAGAGTCAAGATCAAATAAGAAGGAAATTTTTGGTAGGAAGGTAAGAAGTTTTTTTTCTACATATTTTTTTGACGAACAAAATAAATGAATCACTAGATGATTCATTTCTAAGATGATTCACAAGAAAAAATTCTCAAAAAAACATCTTTATGATTCATTTATACAATGATTTTGTTGTTATTCACTAAAATTATCATAAAAATGAATTTTTTCTTAATTTACTTAAAAATGAATCATAAAGATGTTTTTTTGAGAATTTTTTCTTGTGAATCATCTTAGAAATGAATCATCTAGTGATTCATTTATTTTGTTCGTCAAAAAAATATGTAGAAAAAAAACTTCTTACCTTCCTACCAAAAAAAATTTCTTACCGGATCTATATCCTATATATATATATATATATATATATATATATATATATATATATATATATATATATATATATATATATATATATATATATATATATATATATGTTTTAAATATGGGTAAAGTATGTATTAAGAATTGCAAAATTCATTTGCAGCAAAAACGGTAATTTAAAATAAAAACATAATTAGTCATAATAATTAATTATAAAAAACGGATTTGGTGGCTATAAAATAGGAAAAAATGTTGGGCAAGCAAATAATAACAAACCAACACATATTAATATTAATGAACTAATAATATCAAGATAACAACAATTTGAAAACTGCTAATTTATCAATGAAATGATCAGTTACGAATTGAAAATCTACGAAAGAAAAAGTTTGCATTTGCTAATAGAAATAGTTAATTACTTGTTCTTGATGATATTGATATAGCTAGACGTGGATATGCATGAACAGATTACTCCAAATTAACAATATAACAATCAACGAGATAGAATCACAACAAATCAAAGAGAAATCTGCGCATACCTTCAGATCCTGCATTTGCTGGATAAAGCAAAAAGTTCTCCAAATTAGAGCCAAGAACAGGAAGTCGTCCACCCCGGGCATACATCTTTAGAGACGAATCAATTACTTCCGAAACTTTATCATCATCATTCACCACGAATCGCAAAGGTCCTGAACTTCCAAGCACGTTGACAGTGATCAGAAACCGTTTGTTCTTCACGTTCTGATTATGGGGAGTCTTCTTCTTAATCATCTTCTCACTATTTTAACGATTCTTCAAAATTCGATTTGTTTGAATGAAATATTAAGTGACTTAGGGAAAACGATGATGAAACTGAAAGGATAACTATTTCAAGCGTCGAGAACAACACAGCGGAAGTACCACGATTTCATGGAAGTATAGAAGCAGATAGGTCGACGGAAAGAAAGCGAGAGTAGTGAACGCATGAAACAGTAATTGATGTGAATCATCTAATAGAGTAAATTATACGAATGGTCCCTAAGGTTTGGGGTAATTTACGCGTTTGGTTCCTAACTTATTTTTTAAACTTAGAAGGTCCCTACTGTTTGTTTTTGTTACGTGTTGGTCCCGTATTACTTAAAATGACTATTATTTAAGTGAAGAAAAATGATGGGGTAAGTAAGGTAAGGTGACGGGTAGGGTTGAGCGTGTGTTTATTTAAACAAATTAAAAAATAAACGGCAAAATAATCTTTTTAGGTAAAATAGGAACCAAAAGCATCACAAAAACAAAGAGTAGGGACCTTACGAGTTAAAAAATAAGCTAGGATTCAAACGCGCGAATTACCCTAAACCATAGGGACCATTCATGTAATTTACTCCATATAATATGCTGAGAGAGAGAGAGAGATGTTTTTATAATTTATGTTAATACATTATATTTATTATTTAATAGGGGTGTTAAGAAATAAAATCTTCATTCCTAATAATTGCCTCTCCTAAATATCACTTGTCCCCTCCTTAAACCCCAAAGAATCCACGTGTCATTCTTCTATCTCTATTCTCACTTTTTTTCCCGCACATCTCCTAATTCAGGAATGTACATCATATCCTAAAAATCAGCTCTTTGGTTAAGTTATTGTCCCTACATTCAAACAAATTTTCAATTTTCAATTTCATATATTCTCATATCCCATATAATTAACAATGGTTTTGAATTAATCGATCTTTTACCAAATATATAGCCATCAAATTAGGAATTAAATCACGATTAGAATATTCTCTTCTCATATATTGCATTTATAAATACCGAACCCCTAAATATTTTTATATGTTTTGATGACTTTCTGCTTCTTCATCTCTGCAAAGTGCAAAGTACCATCTTTTATCATACATTTCAATCCATCAGGTTAGTGTAAAACAAAATAATCATACTTTCTTTTATTCTATTTATTTCTATCTTCTTCTCCTTCTGTTACAAATTTCATATAGCATCCTAGAAACAAGTATGTCGATCTATGTGTGTTGCTCTCTGTGTGTGTCATTCGCATCATATTCATGCTTATACTTATTTTTTTCTTTTTTAATAAAAAACATATGACTATTTTACCAATCACACAGAAATTTAAATTTAAAACTACGTTGCAATGAACTTTAAGATCTTATATTGCACTATACATTAAAGTCGAACATAAATTAATTGTGTATAATTTTTTACTCGCGGTGCAATTTTTTTTCCTCAATCTGACTTTCACAAATGACTGTTTCAATGTTTTACAACAATTTGTAGTACTCTAAATTTCTTATTAACACTGAAGTATGAAGTCACACACAAAATTTAGTTTTAATATTCTAATTCTTTCTTATGAGAGCAGAAAAAATTACCTGTCATAGAATACATATGTGCTTATCTTGTCTTTTATTTAATTAATTTATATTTTTCTCTTTTTTATTGCAGATAAATGGCAGCACCAAATATTACCTTCATATCTGATATGGATGTAACTAGGGATGACTTGACTTTCAAGCTTCGTGTCATAAACCTTTGGCATCAAATGTCTTTCTACAACAAATATGAAATTTGGTCAATTGAAATGATCTTACTGGATGAACATGTATATTACAAAAACTATTTTTATATTATTCTTACACATATTTCCTTAAATTTAATTACTTTTTAACTTTTTCTTATAGTATTAAATATTGTTAGGGGAACAAAATCCAAGCAATGGTATCCAAACAAAACTTATATCGCTTCAAAAATGCAGTAAAGGATGGGATGACATTTTACATCAAAGGTCTAAACTTTGCAGCATTGAAGACGGGTAGTTTTAAGTTAATTGCTCATGATCAGAAATTCACATTCATCCAACAAACTGTTGATACATAGTGTAACAATTTTTCTGGATCTCTATTTGGGTTTTCATTTATTGATTATCAAGCCGTGTTATCATTGATCCATCCTCAAGATACATTTGTTGGTGAGTACATATCATTATATGTTTAAATATAATATTCTATTTTCATAACAGAAAAATAACATAAATTTGCCTATTTTTTGTTTAATAGATGTTATGGGTTTGGTTGTTGCAATTGCTGAGATACAACAAGGTCATCCAGAGAAATCAAAACACAAGTTGAACATCCGCATCCAAGATGCAAAGTTGATTTTCTTATATGTTTACATCTTCTAATTTATAAATTTTAAATTATGTTATCTAAATATATCATTTTTTATAAATATATTGCTTTTCAGTGGTTTGCAACTTCATGTCAACTTGTGGGGGTGAATATGCGTATAAGATGCTTGATTATATAAATAACAATCCAGACAATTTTCGCATCGTTGTTATTCTTCAGTTTGGTCAAATTAATGTTTGAAGAGGTATTCAAATTATGTTATTAATATTTATGTTGCCCTCAATAAAATAATATTATATACATTTTTGTTATAGATCGTCCAAGTGTAAATACCTACTTTACCTCTTCAAAGTTGTTCATTAACTCTGACATATGAAATTAGCAATTTCAACAAAAGGTAACTTATGTTGTATTCTGTTTATTGTACAATAACATCCTTTTGTGTAACTACTTTTTTTTTTTTTTTTTTTTTTTTTTTTTTTTTTTTTTTGCATACGTAACAGTTTGGAAGGAGATGATCGTCCCGATTCATCTACAAATACATTTTTGATTATCCCATCCAATCAAATTTCTGCATATGATGATTTTATGGTAAAAAATAACCGGAAGGGTATCGCTGAGGTTTGGGAACCAGTCGAGGTATTTCATGTGTTATTGTTTGTTTCAATTTAATATGTTTCTTTAAATATTTTTACCATGTTTTGTGTTTTTTTGTTATGTTTGTATTATATAATTATAATATATTTCATTTACAGTTGTCTTATGTATGTTAATCTAAAATACATACCTTATTTTTGTAGAAATGTAATTTCGTTAGCGTGGGTACTATAAAGGAAATTTTACAAAACAAAAATTTTATTTTGAAGCATGTACCAAGTATTTTGGTAAAGCAAGTGAAAATGATGCTCATCAAACAAAGACTTATGATTGTTATAATGAAAATTGCACAAAAACTACCACTTCGGTTGTTCCAAGGTTGCTACTTACTAGACAATTAAAGTGTGACATGTATATAATTATATTAGAGGGTCATGAGTGTAAATATATCTCTTATATATATACTCTTATTGTAATTGTGGATACAATAACAATACCATGGTCACAAATATTTTCTGAAGTGTGTTGATCATTATTCTAGCTTTATGTGGATTTTTCCATTAAAACTAAAATCTGACATTTATATTATTTTTAAACGATTCCTTGTGATGGTTGAACGACAGTTTCAAACCAAACTAAAATCCATCCAAACCGATTGAGGAGGCGAGTTTCGAAATCTCTCTCAGTTTTTCTCTCCTCTCGGCATTACTCATCGCCTTTCATGTCCGCATACAAGCGAACAAAATGGTTTTGTTGAACGAAGACATCGACATGTCGACACTGGTCTTACTCTACTTGCTCAGTCCAATGTTCCTCAACGGTTTTGGCATTTTGCCTTTGACACCACAGTATATCTTATTAATCGAATGGCGTCCCGAACGAACTCCAACACCTCACCCTTTGAACATGTGTTCAAACATAAACCTGATTTTTCCTTTCTTCGGGTTTTTGGATGTCATTGACTTCCTCATCTCCGTGCATACAACAAACACAAAATGGATTTTCATTCCACACCCTGTGTGTTTCTTGGTTACAGCACTGCTCATCACGGCTATGGTGTTTAGACCCACAATCTGATCGCATCTATGTGGCACATCATGTTCGATTTAATGAGCAATCCTTCCCTTTTCACAAACCTCCTACAATCACTCCGACTATAATCACTACAAATCCCTACATCTCAATTTATCCAAACTCTATCTTACCACCCACTGTCTCACCCTCCACAACACCTATTGCACAATCTGACTCACCGAATACGATACCTACCAACACCTCCCCCCATGAACATCCTGTAACCAAACCACCTCTCATTTACACATATCAACGTCATTCCCAAAACACCAATCAACCACCTCCGCTTATTCTTACTCCTCCCTCTAGCACTGAACAACCTACACGTACTCGACCAGCCAACCTACGCCCTAATCCCAAACCAACCAAACCTTATGATGCCACCTCCTACCATACCCAATACCATTCGCCTGACACTGAACCAATAACGTTTACCATTGCTAACATGGATCCTAAGTGGCGCAGTGCCATGGAAGACGAGTATTCGGCCCTGATGCGGAATGCTACCTGGACGTTAGTGCCACGTGTTCCAAATTCCAACGTTGTTGATTGTAAATGGGTATACAAATTAAAAAAGGACCAAACATGGGTGATTAAACGTTACAAGGCACGACTAGTAGCAAAAGGGTTTCGGCAACACCGGGCATTGATTATCAAGAGACATTCAGTCTCGTAGTAAAATCAACAACTATTCGTGTTGTTCTATCTCTAGCCGTAACACAGAAATGGTCCCTAAGGCAAGTTGATGTACAAAATACCTTCTTGCATGGTAATCTCACCGAGACAGTTTATTTGAAACAACCACCTGGGTTTGTTAACTTGGCCAAACTAGATCATGTTCGCTTGCTTCACAAATCCTTATATGGATTAAAGCAAGCCCTAGAGCGTGGTTCCACCATCTATCTACAACTCTTCATTCCCTTGGATTTAAGGGTTCTAAGACGGATCCTTCATTGTTTATTTACTCCTATCTGGGAACACATTTATACATGCTTGTCTATGTTGATGACATTATTTTGATAGGATGCAACTCGCAGGCTATTAATAAAGTAGTACAAAGTCTTAGCTAATCTTTTGATGTTTAGGATATGGGTCGCTTGTCATATTTTCTCGATATTGAAGTCACTCATCAGGGTCATGACATGGTTCTATCACAACAAAAGTATATCCCTGAACTCTTCCAACGTTGAGGTCTGTCTAATGCTAAACCGGTCTCGTCTCCTATGACAAGTAATGCAAATATTTCTCTTGGTGATAGTGCCACATTTGATAATCCGGTCAACTATCTCCAAGTTGTAGGTGCTCTTTAGTATGTCACATTGTCTCGTCCGGATATTACTTTCGCGGTTAACAAAGTCTGTCAGTTTATGCACTCCCCCACCGAGAATCATTGGTGAACAGTCAAAAGAATTCTTCGTTACTTACAGGGCACTGCTGACTATGGTTTGTGTCTTAAGCAAGATTCGAGCACCATCCTCCATGCCTACACTGATTCAACTTACAACTCATTGACTTGCTTCTCTAATGCTAACTAGGCTGGTTGCCCAGACGACCGTTGTTGGGCTTTGAAGATTGCGTCTATTGGGCTCGTCTAATTATGCTGTTTTGTATTCCGGTTTGGGCCTGTCCAACCGTGAGTCTTTTATACTTTGTATATAAGCTAATGCTTGCATGCATATTAGGTTAAGGTTTTTAGAGATCTGAGAATACGATTTTTCCAGACGACAAAAGGTTTCTTTGATCGTTCTTGTAACCTTCCAATCCTCTACAGTTGATGTTCTTAATCGAGCTCTTCTGAGGATTTTGTTTAATCATTCGACACGTTTGATTTAATCTTGTCTTGTTCTTTTATTGTGTTCATATCGTCATTGTTTACCTACTTGTTCAAGATCTAATCGATCTTCATAGATTAAAAGATAGTTTAATCTCATCAATTGGTATCAGAGCAGGAGGCTGTGTAATTGATACACATCTTTTCTGTGAAAAAGATTTCCATTAGGGTTTTTCCGCAATCATTAATATTTATTGAGCCGTCATCTCTTTATTGACGTATCTTGATATTTATTACTTTGCCCTAATCTGCTTTATTACAAGTCTGATCTTTGAACAGGTTTTTTCGATCATAATGGACGCGACACAATCAAACGTTATTAATATTTCCAACAGCATTGGTTCGACGACAAAGATTCCGATCTTATACACCCACGATTATGAAGTATGGGCACATCATTTCGAAGACTATGTTATTGGATCTGAGGAAAATGGGTATTTGATTTGGGAAGCCATCACCAATGGACCGTTTTCTCATTCTGCAACGTCTAGAATCATCAAGACTCAAAAAGAATACAATGATCTGTTAAAGGACGTGAAAGATATTGATCAAGATGAAAAGGATAAGTTCCAATGCAATATCAAGGCATTAAGATTGATCCGGTTCGCCCTTCAGTCCGATACATTCAGATTGGTTAGTTCATGCACAACGGCAAAGGATGTTTGGGATAGACTTCGCGAACTGTATTCTACAGAAGAAGATCTTGAACATTCTATTCAAACTCTTCTTCTATCTGAGTTTGGAGAATTCAGACAAGGGGCTGAAGAATCTATGACCCAGACGTTCGATCGCTTCAATCATCTTCTCAGCAAGATGATTAAACACAATATTGAAAGGAAGCTCATCGAACAGAAGGTTACATTCCTGAATGGATTGTTTCCACGGTTAAAGCCCATGAGCAATTTAAATCATACTCTCTGGCGAAACTGGTGGGAATTCTCAAGTCTCAAGAGAAAATCGTGGTGCAAGAAAAGAACGTTGTTTCCGGTCTTGGTTCGTTGGCCCTCTTATCAAAAAGTAAAGCTGTTATGGAGGATGAAGACCTCAGCCTGGAAGAATATGATCTCACATCAGAAGATTATGCCTTGATGGTGTCCAATCCCAAAAAGTTCATAAAGAAGAGATTCCCCAGCAACAAAAACCGAAACTGGCAAGGGAGTTACAGCTCTGAAAAGGTGGTTAATGAACCGAGAGCTGAGGAGCACAAGAAGGAACCGAAGGTTGACGACGACTCTGGAGTGAGCTGTTTCTACTGTGGTGGGAAAAATCATTATGCTAAGGACTGTGTTCTCAAGAAAATGGCTGAAAAAGATGATGGGAACGACGAGGAAGCTGTGTTGCAGAAAAGATTGGATGAGTTGAGAAAGAAGAAGTCTGCTGCTAACCTGCCTATTAATGCTCTTATTGTGCAGGGTTCTGTTCTAGGTGATGAGTTCGGTAGCACGGAAGTTTGGTCCACCGACTCAGAAGACGAGGAAGTGAGGCAGCCTACTCATGGAAAGGCGTTCGTGTCTAAGAAAGACAGCAGTGGTGGAAAATGCCTCATGGTTTCTGACGTATCTCAAATGAGGGGATACAACACCGATGGAGGCTGTGATGGACAGAAAGCGAAGGAGGACATGTGCTTTACAGCCAAACCGCTCAGCC